TTGGCCAATGAGACCAATTTTGCACTGACTTTGCTACAAAATATAATCCCCGTCTCTTATTACCTTATAGAGGTGCAGAGAAATCTCCAAAACAAAACTGAACTTTATGTCGCAGAAAGGGAGAACTATAAGCCTAAAATGGTCCTAGTAACAATCAAGGATAGACATGTCACTGCAGATATTGTCACTGGCTGTCTCCCAGCGAGTCTTTGCTGAAGAGCTGGTGTCACTGGACTCCATGGTCGGTGATGTTCAAGAGACAGAGGAGCTGAGAAAGATGCTGTCTCTCTGGTCTCGAGAGCCAGGAGAACCCAGATGGTCTGGGCCACGTGCCTCAGAGGAGAGGGTTCGAGTCACCCCCTTGTCCCTGCGTGAGGTGTTGTTTGTGCTGATCTAGTGTGAGCACAATTATTTGTTTTGTCTATGTTCCTGAGGCAGGGCTTACATCCTGCTTTTTTTTCTCCCAGGAACTGTTTTGCTTTGCATGTCTGGGTTCCTTCCCCTCGTTCAGCTCCTAGGACAGAGAGGCCTTTTCAGAGGACCTAGTCTACAGCAGTCAGGCCCTAGTCAGGACTCTCCTCCCCACCTTTTAATTACCTTTATAGAGCTTAGTTATCTGCTTGTTTTTGCACACCCCCTACTACAATTTTTATCTTCATGTCCACTTGAACACAAGGCATCCACCTTATTAATCTATCCTTTTATCCCTGAGGCTCAGACAACTTTTTTTTTTAAGATTTACTTAATTCTGCATACAGTGCTGGGGGTACAGGCCAGAGGTGCAGGGGCAGTGAGAGGATTCGCCAGAGACAGAGGGGGGGAGCAGAACAGGCAGAATTAACAAAATACACTGCTGAGAGGTGCAGTGGTCAGGCCAAGAGAGGTCTGCCGCACTCTTGGTCACTTCCGGGGCAGGAATTGAACTCATGCTGAAGTGGTTTTAGCTTCTTGGTGCTGTCTTTAACCCACTGGGCTACCAGAGAGGGCTGGTTCAGACAACTTTTGCACATGGTGTGTGCTCAATAAACACTTGTTGAGTAAATGAATAAAATGATGGAGGGAGCATGTTAGGAATCACAATAGTAGCCTCCACGATAGCTCCCCCCACACCCTGCACCCTCCCCAACTCGGCCTGGTCTGGTTGACAGAGAAACAGGGAAAATTAGACTCAAGAGCAGCTCTGCTGGGCAGGAGCTGAGAGAGAGTTGAGTGAGCACAAGGCCGCTCCTTCCCACGATGGGGCCTGGCGTCACCAGGGAGGAAGGAACCAGGTGCCCTGAGCGGAAGGACTCACAGCTGCTCCCCAGTATCCAGGTGTTGACCTGACACAGCAGAAAGGAAAGTCACTTTTTTCCCTCTCTTTCACCTTTTACTTTTTTATTTACATCAACAAACTAGAAGAGATTCCAGATTGGGAATGACTGGGAAAGAAGTGCCTTACAGAAAATATAAGTAAAGCAATGCAAACATGCAGAGGAAGGCATATTTTGTTCCCTACTTGGCTGAAAACAATGACCAAGTGGATTCCTGACTGTACACAAATGCCTGCTATAGAGAGACCAGAGGAGGCATGTCACTCATCACAACAGCGGACTTTCCCACCAAGTGAGTGGGTGTTGGGCACATGTGGGTGTCTCTCTTGCTCTCTACCCCCCTTCCCGCTGTGTGTGTTCATGTAACTGCATAAAGTACTTCCCAGTCATCATCAGTTATGGGTCTATGTACCAGCCCATGTCTTCACATCTCCACTGCTGTTACTTGTGATTCCTCTGCAGTGTGGGAATACAGATCCCCCCCACAGCAGTGAGAAGCTGGGGGCTCACAGGCTTTCTAGAAGGAGTCTGAGGTCCCGGGGTGGGACTCCAGGCTGGCATGGGCGCCATGTACCTTCATCTGAGAGAGGTTGCATGCTAGAGGAGGAGGGAGGCAAAACGAGGGCAAAACCAAGCCGCTGGAGGGCGCCTCCAAGGTCAAGCGGATAGGAGCAGTAGCTAGAGGAAGGTGCAGCCGCTTTGCAAACACCGGACATGGGATTTGCTTGTAAACTGGGTGGACGGTGGCAGAATTGTGAACACTGAAATGTGACTGGTGCAGTCAGGTGTGGGAGCAGATTATTAAATGTGTAAACAAAAGTGAAACCATCGATGGAATTTATCTTGTTTTGCGAAATGCTCCCTCACCTTTCCTCCTGGTATCCTGACTTGTAGGCAGTGTGCAGAGACCAGAGAATGCAAGCTGCTGAAATGAATTCAACTTGTCTAATTCAGAGAGTGTGAAGGAGATGGCTTTGCTGTGACTCCCCCACCAGAGAGGCGCTCACCACCTCCACTTGGTGGGGCTGGGTGCAGGCTTGTTGAGGAGGCCTTCCCAGGCGAGGGAACAGCTGTCAAGTCACAAGGTGGGGACTGCCCTGCTGACATCTGTGAAAATTTCGGGGAGAGACTTTCACCTCTAGCAGCCTCAACAAAGCCCCCCTAAATGAGGTCAGCACCCTACAGTCCCTGAGGAGAATTGGGTCCAGATGCTACACAGTTAGGAAGAATAAAACCAGGGGCTCTGCAGGTCTGGGTGTAATGGGAAGGAGTGCTGTGAGTAAACAGAGATACAGAGTTTTTCCAAAGCCAGATTTTATTTTCCTTCTTTATTTCTTTTTAAATTGGGGCTGGACCTTTCTGGTGGCACACAGTTAACGTCTCAGCACAAACAAGCTATCTGCAGCCACTGCAGCATGAGTCCCAGCCAGGGAGCTGACCACAGGGTGCAGCAGGCCTCTCCTGTCTCCTCGCTGCTCCCCTCAGCAGTGTACTTCGTCCATCTGCCTGTTCTGCTCCCCACTCTGTCTCTGGTGAATCCTCTTATCCCTGTACCTCTGGCCTGTACCCCAGTTTTTTGTGTGCATAAATAAAATAAATCTTAAAAAAAATAAACTTGAAGCTACACTATGTTACAGCACTGTGCACATTTCAGGGGTACCATTTCCTGCCCCAGCCACCACTGCTACCACCCCACTCTCACCACCAAATGTTGAGTTGCCACCACTGACAACCTCTCAGCCTCCTCCACAGCCAGATTTTTACCTCCAGTCTCCAAGTCTACAGTGTTACTTTCCCCATGCAGGAGGGTTCTGGAGCATGAGATCTGAGGTGCGTGCCAAGTGTAAATGTCAGTGTCTTTCAGCAGGCAGGATTCGGGTGGGCAGTTCCCCAGCTCAGTCTGGGGGCTGTGTCCTCCCAAGGCACTTCCTGAGATGAAGAGCTTCTAGCTAGTGACAATCAGAACAGTGAGAGAGTTGTTTAATTTCCAAGAAAGACCGAGGGCAAAGCAGGGACTTTTTTTTATTTTTTCAGATGTAGGGATACTGGTGATCAGAGCCCTTATTTTCTACTTTCCACATTCAAATGAGTGACACAGGGTTGTCCTACCTGGGGTAGCGTGTGGTCTTTCAGCCAGGTGTGGAAGCTGGCTCACTCCTGGCAGCCTTTCCTACCCACAATTTCTGCCTGGGCCTGGTCAGGGTGGATGAAGGTGGCTAAACTAGTCTTCAGCTTGGGTGTTTGTGATTGGGCAGAGGATTTGTTGTTACTTGGAGAAATTCAGTTCGGGCTGAATCAGAATGCAGAGAACAGGAGACTAAAAGAAACAGTTGACAATGACTTAAATCATAACCACTGTGGAAGTGTGTGCACTCCAGAGGATTTGATGACACCTGTATATCCTGACACCTGACAACAGATTCTAATTGTAATGGAGGCGTGGCTTCAGGGGGAGAGGACAGCGCTGCCTATAGCTGTAGAGACGGTACATAGAGCTGCGTGCCCACTTGTGGACACAGATGGATGTTTCTAGCTCCCCTCTCCCTGCTCGTCATATAGTCATGATTTAAACTAAAAGATGCTAAAAGTATCAGCTGAAAAGTAAAAACTCATTTCAGCTAGTTAACTTCATGTGCTTTAAATATTTATATTTTTGAATGTTTAAATTTTCTCAGCTTAAAAGGAGAGCATTTTGTTCCTTCTTGTCTGTCTTGTTTGACCTCAAGAGGCTCAGGAACATTCATAGGCCACACTGGAAGTGGCATGGCCACCCCCCCCCCCACCCCACCACCACCAGCAAGTCTCTGACTGGCACTTCGCCAACTTCCTCAGGTGGAACCCCCCCCCCCCCCGCCTGTGTCTGTGTTAGATGACCATCGTGGTGTGAGGCTCTGGCTGGTCAAGCAGGGCCCCCAGGTTATCTGATGCAGGTCTGTGTGAAAGTTTGTCCCTCTGAGACGTCCTTTGTGAACCATAGAAGAGCAAAGGCTAATGGTGTGTGTTGTGTTATCGATCATGTGTGTGTTGTGATCTACTGTGTATGTGTTCTGTGTTACCCACCCTGTGTGTTTGTGTGTGTGTCATCCACTGTGATCCACTGTGTGTGTGTGTGTGATCCACACTTGTTGAGAGCCTGAAGCTGAGTTGAGCAGGGCCTGTAGTGCAGCTGCAGTGCTGTGGGGTCTGTAGTTACTTTTGTGTTGAAGACCTACTCCCTCAGTGATGTCACTTTGTTTGCAATTATAATTATTTCTCTAAAAAGCAGAGGCCTAGGCCTTTATTTCATGAAGTAATAAAACTAATTAGCCACAACAAATCCTGTGTATGCTTAGTTTGCTAGGGACTACATGTTTGCCTCTTGGTGGGAGCATCTGGGTTGTGATAGGACTTTACTACCACGTCCAGGTCCCAAGTGGGCTGCTCCCACCCTGGTCAGAAGCAGGAGAACCATGCATTTCAGGGGAGAGGTTGCTTCAAGACACCGACTAACCACCAAGGAGTGTCCTAGTGTAAGGGGTCAGACTCGCACCTTGCAGCCTGCAACAGAGTTCTTGGTACTGTAATTAGGAACAAAGAACAACTCTTGGTACATAGGAAATGAGCACAATCTAGGGTGGGGAGAAAGAATTCTAATCATGCTTAGACCCAAGAAGAAAGAGAACATCAACACCAACCAGGCATACTCACCGTAGAACACGTCTCTGACTGGGCCTGCTTTGGGCTTCACAGGAGGCCACTCGGAAGAAAGCACCTTGTGTGGGATGTCCTGGAGGTTTTGGCCCAGGGTCGTTCCTAGAGGCAAAAGATAAAAAGGAGACTTCCATGTAAGTTAAAAGCAGAAAGAGTATTTTAATTAGACTTGGCTACTGCTTTCACTCAATTTCCAAACATTAAAATTTCCTTTTCATTTCTTGCATGAGTAATCCTGGCCCTGATTAATTGGCAACACTAGGTCCTTGCTACTCCCACATATTATCCCTGGAGGGGACTGTACTTCAGTGACAAATGTTACCGGAATGTGCTGCATTATCTTTCCTTGGCATAGCAAATAAAGAGGGGAAATCATTCACTGAGGCCTCAGCAAGCAGCCTCAGGGCTCTCGGTTCTGAGTGGAGCTGAATGTCGGGGACCGCCCCGCCTCCCTCACTTAAGGGCAGATAGACCAGCTGCTGCTCTCTCACCCAGTAGCTGACCAGTAACATCAAACTTGCATGGGATCCATTCCAGAGAAAACAACAATCTCCTTTATCACTACAGCAAGAATGTTGGGAATTATTTTTTTTCTATTTTATTCTAAGCTCTTATTTATTTTTAAAATAATATAATAGTTTATTTTTACATAATTTTGTGACTTTTCCCATCTCAGTTGTAATCCCTGTGTTGGGAATTATTTTTCTCTGGAAAATGAATACCTTGAATGCACTAAGTGGATAATTCAGGATGATCTTTTTTGGATGGTAAATGGTTGACTTTTTACCCTGAGGAGAGGGAAAGTGGAGATGGAGGACTCCAGTTCCCTGAGATGTTTAGTAAACAAGGTTCTGTGCACTGCAGTGCTTAGCGCTTTTGAGATGTCCTGGCTGGCTGGCAGGCCCTGGATAATCCGGCTATCTTACTTTTACTTCCAAAATTGTTGGACTTTGGAAATCAGTCTCATAAAACTCAATTCTTTGTGTCCCTTCTTCTGCTTTTGAAGACCTATTTTCTAAGTTAACATAATTCTGTTTTTTTTTTTTTTATGTCAAATGAATGCCATACAAATTTTAAAATCCTAAACCATTTAGTCAAAGTTGGGGTGAGGCACACAGAGGTTGCCATGGCACCAGATTATTTAAGTGAGACAGCCTCCTGGGTTCCTCTTGATCTGATGTACTTGCTAGGCAAATGGGTCAAAATGGGAGCTCACAGCCTCTTTGTATGCTATTTGTGATGGGGAAACATCTCGATAGGGTTGTAAATATTTATTTACCTCATTGATTCTTAAAGAAAATGATAGACTTTATTTTCCTCCTCATTGGGAACAAATGTCTGAAAAGCCTTTCACTTCTCACTTGCCCCAGAATGACACTCTCAGGGACAGGGTATATGTTTTGCAGTTTCTCCTAAGGTGAATCCTGTTTGACAAGCACAGAAAAAAAAGGGCTCCAGTACAAGAGTTGTTTTAGACTCTGAACAAGAGTTGTTTTAGACTCACTGAGTAAAGAATTTGTAGGGCCCACTGCATCTACTGATTCCTAGAGGCTTGATGTCCAGTTGCTGGGGCTAGAAAGAGATGTGGTCACTCCTGACAACACCATTTTCTCTAGTCCCAAGATGAAGTCTGCTGTTAGATTCTGCTGTTAGCTTCTGCAGGACCTGCTTTCACAGACAAGGCTCCTCGTCACTTATATTAGTTGTCTGTGACATGTTGCTTCCTGGCCACCAAATTCCCTTCTTCTGCAACAACAACAACCTCCTTTAGTGGAATCACAACTCAATCCTCGAGGGCAGACTTGGTGGGGCTCTCAATCAAGGTATATGGTCTGCTCGTAGCTAAAGTCTTGTCTCAGATTATTTCCCCAGAGCCTGGAGACTCCTCTAGTACCTGTCCTTTCTGATCATGAATTTTCAGACTTCAGTTCTGTGAGCAACACTTTGCCCTTCCAGTGTTTCTTTTATTCTATTTAAGTTGGCCACAGTTTCTATTCTTTTCAACCACATGATCCTAACTGAATGACTGTCTCTCATTTTGATCATTAAAGATGTTTCTGTGTTATAACCATAGAGCAATTTAACTGATTTTAAAAGAAACTCCTGGGTCATCCCTGGTGGCACAATGGGTCAAATCATAGCACTATGAAGCTATCCATAGCCAACAAGCATGAGTTCGAATCCTAGCCAGGGAGCTAACCCACAGGGTGCAGCAGACCTCTCCTGTCTCACCTACTGCTCCCTTTAGCAGTGTATTTCAGTAGATGGACCTGTTCTGCTTCCCACTCTGTCTCTAGTGAAACTCACCCCCTCACCTCTGGCCTGTACTCCAGTTCTTGTATACCTAGGTAAATAAATCTTGAAAAAATAAAAAGAAACTCCTCTGAATTTAAATATCCAAAGATATATACAGGTTTTATAGAAACATTAAAGAAAGGGCACATAACTTCTGAAGTATTATACCTCTCTCACTGGCTCTTAAGGCAGATTCTGTAAGCAGCCTATCAATACCGTTATGTTTTTATTCACAGTTTGTCTCAGTGCTTATTTTTCTCCATGAAGTCATCACTCAGGGGAGGAGCCCTATCTCTATGTCCACTGGTTGGATGTCACTAGTCTAAGGCAATCATGCTAACTCCACTCCCTTTGCTAGTTTCCAGGTTAGGGGGCATGAGATGTACAAATGAACAGTGAAACTTGAGGAAGTGATGGTGGCTGGCAGCATCTAAAGAAGGCTCACACAGAGAGATATGAAAAAACACTTCTTTTTCAGTTTCTGCTCTTCGAAGTGTGACAATATGATGCCTAAAGCAGTCATTTTGGAGCCATGAAGAAAACCAGCTGAAGTCAAGACTAATAAGGTGAGAATGTCAGAATATTAAAGTGAAAAGAACTTATGTGTTTCTGTTGTGCATCTGAATTACCCATTCTGCTTCCTACAAGATAACAATTTCCTTATTGCTTAGGACATGTGAGCTTTTACTTTTTTATTTTGGCAAAGTAAAAACAAAAATCAACAAACAACTATAAAACAGACACTTATGGGTGAGGGAGAGGGGAATAGGGTCAGAACAGGAACTATTCTATTCACCCGTCAGAACACGGGTGAATTGATGGTGGGAAGCCCATGGGGTTACAACTGAGTGAAAATCATGGATTGTAAAAAAATGAAGACTGATGTAAAAATATATTAAATAAATTATATCCTAGACAAAAAAAAAAAAAAAGGTATGTGAGTTGCATTCTGTTACAGGGAGCCCCAAACATCCTTACAACCCTGTTCAAAATAGTTTCTTTTAATTTAAGTGACACTCCACTATTGCACATATAAGTTTCAGGCATGCATCATTGAAAATCAACGTACATGTGCACTATGTTATCTTCACCTCTAACAATGAAATTTTATCCTTCACCATGTAATTTCCCCCTTTTTCCTACATCACCCACCCTGGCTTTCACTTCCCTTCTGGAAACCACTAATTCATTTGCAGTTCAAAATTTTATTTTGTTTTGTTTAGTCCATTTACTTATTTCTTTTACCTATATATCATGTGTGGGTGAAATTATACAGTATTTGTCTTTCTCATCGGGTTTATTTTACTGAGCATCATACCATACAAGTCCATTCATGTACTAAATGGCAGGATTTCAATTTATTATAGCTGAATCTTTTGTCACTGTGCATATTTTTTTTTTACAACTTCATCCATTTGCAAATTGATGATAGATGTTGTTTCTAGATCTTGGATATTTTAAATAATGATGCAGTTAACATAGAGTGCATTTCCATGTCTTTCCAATTGTGAATAATGCAGCAGTAAACATGGGGGTGCAGGTATCTTTTTGAATCAGTGTTTTTGTGTCTTTTGGGTAGATACCTAGGAGTGGGATTGCTGGGTCGTAAGGAAGCTCCATGTTTAGCAGTTTGAGGAACCTCCAAACAATTTTCCATAGTGGTTGTACTAGATTGCATCC